ATCAACGAAAATAAATAATATAAAACAAATGAATGTAATATGTGGATCCCCACATGTCTATGTGTGCATGAATGAGCAAGTAAATGACGTCATCTCAACGATTAACTAACGGCAGATTTCGTGAACCTATGAATCATAGACTAAACGTCCCCAGACGGACATACCTTGTGCAGTAAGACCAGTTTAATCACAGTCACTTTTGTTTAATTGATAAACATTTTATTCGTTTGTATTATTCGACAAAGCAATATACAGCCCTTATAAATCTTACTGATTAGTTTCACTGCTAGTAGTGACTCGTATGACACTTATTCTCATCATGATTTAAAACACAGATATAGCATATGTGCATAATGAGATCGGGAAAGTGCGACATAAGCTTCTTCAAATCTTGTTTTTCCCGAAATTTAGCCCCCTCAACGTTACATCAGATCCCGATGGTAACTTATCTTCACTTTAATACAATAAATTAAACATTAACACACAACACAATTAAACAATAAGGTCAAGCTGACACAACAGGAAACTAATTAATAAACAATAAATTAATTAGCGCCAAAAGTTATTGTTTAACTGATTAGACGATCAACAGTAATGTCGTCCCGCGACCAGCGATGGCGCGAACCTTCTCAAAATGGCGGACAATTACCAGACGGCTGCGTTCCGAATACGATCACAAATCGATTGTATGCAAAAACGAAACAATATGTGCATTAGTTGATTGGTGTCGTGAATGTGCCGCATTCGAATCGCATCATTATATAACGATTAGTAATCAATTTTTCAAGAAACAATTTAAGCACTAACGGATATCAGACTTAATGGGAACCGTGACGGTAATGAAGACGCGTCATCCGGCCTCTATGCACGTATGACTCTTTGTTAGTATCCCGCTATGTCGAAAGGAAAATCCGCATTAAAATGTGACACGACAACAAAAATAAGACACCATATATTACTTTACTTCAAAAAAACACGCACATACAGCACGTGGGAGGTCTGACTGGAATAGGTACTAACATAACTCTATTCACATCTATCTTTATATACTCTCATCCACAGGAATCCTTGGTGTCTATGGATGTCTTTGACAATATAACCTAACTTAATCGACTAAGACATGCAGCAAGTCCTACGATCGTGTTAAAATCTGCCCTTTAATGCCATAAGTTGTACCATTACACCAATTATACCAGGTTATACCAATTCGCTTGATGATTGTGCAATCACGTACCGATTTCACAGTTGAACGGTAAGAAATTAATAAGCCATCCAGAGCATGTATTGATTTAAGCTGTTATGAACCATAAAACTGATCATTGCCGATCATCGCAGCGCGCGGTGAATATTAATTATAACGATATACGGCACAGGGATGCTCCTCTATTGTAAATATGACATATGTAACAGAATAACATTATTTAAATTTTATGATATACTAGCTATTACTTGGGACTTGGTTCAAGTGAAATTTAAAATGTAGTCTGTGTTACACACAGATAAATTACCTTTTTAACAGTGACAGAATTTTATAATACATACAAAAACACAAATCTTATCTCTCTTCTATTTATAATATTACAGTATAGACTAGCTGTTCCCGTGCGTCTAAATCCGCGTGAAATTATAAAAAAAAAAAACATTATTTTATTGTTTACATTTTCAATTGCAGCTTTAGATACTATTAGTTTGTAGTTTTAGTCTCTTTCCTTCTTGATATATTCCAATTTATTTACCCCCTAAGCTTAATAGTGTGAAAATATATAGTCTAATTTGTGACATAAGTGGAGGGTATTTTTTATTAAAAAAAAGTATAGGTCAGAATTATTCTGTACTTGCTGAGAAACTACACAACTAAGAGGTGAGTTTACGCTTTATTTATATTAGTATAGATTGTTACTTGTTATTACTAACTAATTACGAGTAAAACAGTTCAGTCCTGTCAGTGGTCATGGACATTGCCAAGTAGGGTTCAGCTTCTCCCTAGAGAATCTAAAGTACATATAAAACTGCTTCAAATTACATCTTTTAAATGGTAGCAGCCCTATAGACCTAGCCTAGATCATCACAGATTCTGGATACATTACAAATATGGCCGCTTATGACTGGTCAAGCAATAAAATTAAAATATTTTTAGACTATACTTAATGTCAATTTATATAATATTGTGACAACCCTGTCGCCACGATAGATAGTTCCCGGAACGCTTGAACTAGGAAGAGAAAAAACCAGGTGTTGAATTAAAAGGCAATGATACGAAGAACACATTACCCAGGTACCAGAAAAGTAATTTAATTTTAACGAGATATACTTCAATTGAATTATAAATATACAAAACGTTCAATTACGACAAATACTATGTGGAGCTGATAAATAGCTTTAGCAAGAAAGGCAAAAAAAAGTGCAGTCAGCGTTCAAATCGGTTAATCTATAATTTACTATCTTCTGTTTCTCTACATCTCTTGTGAGCCTTCGCTTTGTTCATCAACTGTTTCCATTGGGCCACGGTCCTTCAATTTGCTATGCCAACTTTTCGCATATCTATTTATACCATCAATCTATCTCCCTTTATCTTACTATGAAACTTTTAAACCATTTGCATAATCCATATTTCATCTATTAAGAATAAGTCTAGGAAAATTAATTCTTATACAGGAAAAAATTAAGGAAAAAGTATGCAAAGTATCTATCTATTACCAAGAAGTACGATTTGTATTTTTGTTTGTAACTAATAAACTTATACTGGACAGATTACAAATATTCTAGTTAGAATCAGAATCATTGAGTAATATAGAATATCCTTATTACTAGAATATTTTTTCCGCGCAAACGATGTCGCATGCAAAAGTACGTTATAAAGTACTAAGAAATGACGTTAAACGTAAGTGATATAACATACATCGATGTAACTTCAAGTATTGAAGTAGTTATTGCTCCGAGTACCATAGACACATCCCGGAGTTAATGTTTAACCACCCATTGTGTGTATACTCTACCGAGAAACAAATCTATTGTCTCTTTCAAGGAAACATCGAAAACAGATCTGCAAAAAGAAAAATCGCACTTACTACCATGGAATAAAGGTTCTAATATATTGATCTGAATATAATGTCTAATTGGACTTTTATATTTTTATGTGTGAGGCCGCAATATAACAGACTAGCTGTTCCCATGCGATTTCATCAACATAACATTATTTTATTGTTTACATGTGTCAATTGCAAATGTCAAATTGACATGACATGACAAAACTTGGCAATCTTGCTTCCTTGATGTTGGCAGCAAATTATGGTCTCTTTCCCACAATAGGGTTTTTATCCAAAATGTTTACCCCCTAAGTTCAATGGCGTTAAAATATATAGCCTAAAGCGTGACGGAAGTGTATGAATTTTTATTATAAAAAGAATTATTCAAAAATATGCTGTAATTGCTAACATCTTAGGCAACAAAGAAGTGTATAGACATAGATAGTATAGATTCACTTAGATTCCTTACAACTTGTAATGCAAACCTATGTTTTGAGTTGATGTCACCATAAAAATGTTTCAAAATTTAATGCTACATTTGAATGTGTGTAATGAATATGAATTTTCAATAATGAAATAGACCGAGGCATTCAAAACAAGTTTAAATAGTACATATGTAAAGCAACAACTAAAAAAACCTATTACATCGATTTAAACTAATATATCGACACATTTAAGTACTTTTGTACTATTCAGTGGTGGTCTGTTAATAAAATGAACAAAAAAATCGCTGAAATATCGATTATAGCATCAATTAAAACTAATACAATTTGCGTCATCGACATGACTGGCCGTATATCAAGACAATACAATTTACTGAAGCTCTAAATTACCAAACAAACGATCATACACGACTATGATATTATCGGTGCATAAAAAAAACAAAGACTAATAAATAATAAAGTGGAAAGTGACAAAACAATATGTAAATATCATTATTTGGCGGTCGTGCAGCGTCATCGAACCAATTTGTTGTTTAGACTCCGCGCCGACATGTTTGGATGGTGCTAACTCAGCACAGGGAAACCAACAAGTGGTTATTATTTGTAAACTATTTTGTTTACAATCTTAATCTGATTTATCGCAGTTAAACCTAACGAAGGAAGACTATTTAACAACATACAACATGGAAATTTAATGTGGCAGTAAGTCTAAATATAATCAGATTCTAATACTCAGATCGGAATTCATCGCAAGATAAGTAATTTAGGGAAAATAAAGGTCATATAACATATAAACAAAACCTATCTTACTTACGTGGACCACACACAATAACACAATAAAGAAATCAACATTATCAGAACTAGGTACATACTTATTGTAATAAATTAAATTAAATTTTGGCTCGTCAGTTTTCACTTTCCTTCCTGCATTTTGAAATTGGAACGCTCCAGTCATAGACAATAATGATGGTATCGTTAGCCGTTTAGCATAGTACAAGGCTAGTTTGGCAACGGGGCTCGCAGCGCAGTCACTGGTATAAATGTTGTGCATTCAAAGCTGCATTCATAAGATATGTATTTATTTATATGATGTCGCGACACGTTCATTGAAATTAAAATCAATTACAAGTAAACTACCTACATGCATTCAATACGCCTAAACGTATACCTATATAGGTATAGAACAATTGAGACACTCACGCCTTTACCCTAAATAAAAACATAATTGTTTCTAATTGCAAAGTACTTACCTATTAACACGTTCAAAAGACAGGAATTTCACGACAGTAAAATTGTGGCTCTATCACTAAGTTAATGTAAAATATCGTTAATATAAAATGAACTAGCCCAATACAAAATCTTAACGAGATGTTGATATCTTAAAAGAAACAAAGAAAGGTAACTGAAAATGGTAGAAACCGAATTTGAACAAAATATTAAAATAGTCAGAGCCATCTAGGGGCGAGTAGGAGGAGTTAAATCTATTTTTAAAATGCAACCTTGTCTATGGTATTTGGCACGGCCACTTGAGTGAAGTTCAATTTTGACAGTTGTAATGTAACAGTGCTCATCCTATTTTTTATATCTCCTTGCATTTTGATACAAAATATTAGTAATTCGCGAAGTGGTATTACGTGAACAAGATGAAAATACGATCCCACGCACTTCGGGAACGGTGGAATGCGGTTCGCTAGCGTCGGTGAGTGTTAAAAAACTACGCGTAATATCCTTATTTTTAACTGATTAAAAAAAACTGTAGTCAATTGGCTGTTAACCTTTTAACTAAAGGCGAGAGACGCGTAATTTGACGCTGTGCCGTGTATAATTTTATTAGGATTCGCATCGCGACTGAATACATTACTCTCAGCTCATTCCGAAGTTTTCAGCATTCTGCATCATTAATACACCAAAACTGTCGTTACTTATCGTACGTAATTGTTTCGTTATCTCTATTAGTACAAAATTCACTTTTAAACCTTTGATTGGCTTTAAACTGCTTGATAATATATTAACTGACTTAACAGAGTTATCATTTTTATAGAATTTAATCAGACATTTTTGTGATTGTGATCTTATATTATTGTTGTGTAACGTACATTATTTTAAACGCGGATATAAGTCGGTTTTAGTATTCCTTTATACACATTAACAACTAAGAATCATTAGGGTACACTTGGTCAAATGTAAATATTTTAATGCTGTGATTTATAGTGAACCCAACTGATAACTAGGTAGTGGAAAATGATCTAATTTCAAATATATTATAACATTTAGTTAACAGATAAGGAAGAATTGAAATGTAAGTAACATTTAAATTTATTGCATGTTTTAATTTTAACATTAACATTTGATTTTTATAAAAATTCTTAATGTTCAAATTCAATCACTAATAAGTTCAAATAAACCAGTTTCTGTATTCGACAGACTCTTAAAAATAAAAGAGTGTCGATATTATTAGGTGAACTTGGTATTTCCAGTTCCATTTTAAAATGTTTGATAATAAATATTTCATATACATTGAAGAGTAAAAATGCAAAAAGCATTATTATCCTATTATTAACTATTCTGTATATATGAGGTGTGTTTACTAATAAAATAGTTATTACTGTCTCTACTTCTCTACTTTAAATTTTTCCGTACTATTATTATAATGAGGGAAGATTTGTATATTGAATTTTCGTATGTATTGAAATAACTCAAAAACAACTGGGTAGTTTTCAAAAAATCTTTCACCGTTAAAAAGCTATGTTATCAGTGAGTAACATAAGCTATTATTTTTTCTCTTTAAATAGCTATTATAGAGCAAACAGTATTCTATAAAAATATTTTCTCTACAACACTGTTATTTGAAGTATACAATTTTATAAATAGAAACCTGTGAAATAAGTTTTGAGAAGGTATTTTTCTATTTTTATCTAGCAATTAAAAAACTTACAAAGTGTTCTACGGCAGCAACACCTGTCATTGAAAAACAGAGCTATTTTTGTTTTGGTAATACAGTAATAGATTTCTTTTATTGAAAATTTGATAAATGAAGGTACAAACAATGGGAGAATACTACTTTAACCCTTGATTCAATAGAGTTTTTTTTGTAAGAAATAAATATGTTACCAACACACTAAAATCAAAACTACCATGTATTTTTCTCCAAACTAATTCAGTAGATTTTTTTTAATTACTTATCCATCACACTGAAGACTATCAAATTAAACTAACATTGAAAAAAATACTGAATAAGTGTAAACTATATTAAATAATTCTTTATCAAACTATTCCTTTGGTGTAAGCTAAAATTATGGCTTCATTATTCAAGAAATATTAATATGTCTTGTAAAAAGTCTCAAACCTTTTTTAATTTGTGTTACCTTAATTGACCAATAATTCTATACAATGTACTAGTTTTATTTGTATAGTATGTTCCCTTGCATAAGATATTCAACCTTATTGACTAAGTAACAAAACTCGAAATGTAATAATGATTACTGTGATATTCTGCGAGAGCTCTTAAACATCAATTTTAAAACCAATGTTAAGGGCGATTACACACTATGGTGTTTCAACTATATAAATTAAATTATATGAAGAGTTAGTCTAAAGTGTGAAGTAGTTATTACTAATAATATAATAATTATATCGACAGTTCAAAATAAACTCTGAACTAGGAAATAAAATCATATAACTTATGTTATCTTTTATCTACAACAAAATACTATTGTATCAAAAAAATAGTGTTATTGAAATATTGAATTATTGTTTTTACTCACGTAGTTTTTTACACTCCAAAATAAGAACGTTGATTTTGTAAGACGATATGCATGCTTTTTATGATCAAACTCGCTTTCACCCGCGACTCCGTCCGCGCGGATTTAAAATAAACAAACGCAAATAGCCTAAGTGTTCTTCCAAATTATCCTCTGCATCTATGTCAAATTTCATCGAAATCCGTTCAGCCGTTTAGGCTACAAACTCTAACAAACATCCATCAATCCATCTTAACTTTCGCATATGAGTATGATTTAATACAAAAAATGCATACAAAGCATAACTTACACTGCAGACTTCAATGCAATTAAATCTAGTTACGCAAAAATAATATTAAAAAAAAACTGCGTCACCGTAGTATAGACAAAAATAAACTGTATTGAAAAATGCAATCGTAACATTTATTAACATTAAATCTCACTTGCGTGTTACGCACGAGTGTGTCATCGACCTAATTTGTTGCGGACAAATTTAAAAGCATTTATTGCTTGTTGCGGGCGAGATACTAAAGCTGGTGTTATACACTTTCTTCATACTCTACTTTTATTTTTAAACTAGCTGTTCCCGTGCGGCTTCATCCGCATGAAATTATGAAATTTTATTTTATTGTTTACATTTGTCAAAATATCAATAGCAAATGTCAAAATGACATGACAAACCTCTTTCTTTCTTGATATTGGCAGCAACTTATGGTCTCTTTCTCACATTAGGGTTTTTATCCAAAATATTTACCTCCTAAGTTGAATAGCGTGAAAATATATAGCCTAAAGCGTGACGTAAGTGTACGGATTTGTTTATTAAAAAGAGCAATTTTCAGAAATATGCTGTATTTGCTGACAACTTAGGGAACAAAGTAGTGTGTGTTTACGCTTTATTATAATAGTATAGATATAGTTGTATAACAAAATGTCATTGAGTTAGTAACTGCTTATTTATTTGATATCTAAACTTAAACACATCCTTACGTTTTCAATTATACTATATCTAATTAAGAAAGTTTTATTCTATCAAAACACGCATTAAAATCAAATATCAAATAAAACATTTTTTAAGTTCAATAAATTTAAAAAACCGTTATTATGACCTTAACAGCTTTAATTATACAAATATTGAAATTAACAAAAAAGACCTAAGCCGGATTTTTATCTAGATACTTTGAGACGCGTCGCGAATATATCTTGGCTAGTAATTGCCTAATTTACACAATTTAACATCGCGCATACTAAACTGGACTAGGCCTGAAATACCAACATTATCGACTAATTTGTTTCCTAACCGTGAAATTTTCTATTGAAGAAAAAAGATATCGTATCTGTCTTTGTTTGATCAACTACTCGAAATCAATGATTAATTTAAAGCAATATGGTTGTTTTCTATAAACACTACCTTACGCCTGCGATTCCGTCCCCGTGGAATTAAAAAAAAACAATAGAGAGTAGCCAAGGTGTTCTTCCAGACCATCGTCTACGTCTATGGTAAATTTCAACGAGATCTGGTCAGCCGTTTAGGCTACAAACTCTAACAAACATCCAACCATCTGTCTTAACTTTCGTATTTATATTAGTAATTTAAGACTAGTTATTTAAGACTGAATTAAACAATTTAAATTGTAAAACTTAAATAAAATAAATTGTGTAATTCAGTCTTAAGCCTTATCTGTATTAATCTATATTAATATTATAAAGAAGAAAGATTTGTATGTGTATGTATTGAATTAACTCAAAAACTACTAGACCGATTTCAAAAATTCTTTCACTGTTAAAAAGCTGCGTTATCAGTGAGTAACATAGGCTTCGTTTTTACTATTTTTTCTAATTTCAAAATGGCGAAGTCGCGAGCAGCATATAGTAAAAAATGAAAAGGTCGGATTCGCATTACATTAAAACCTCAGTGTTCCTGTCACGCCTTGGAAATGTATACTAAATTATACAGTTTTCTAATTCACGGCAACACTTTTTTATCTTCTCATTTATTCTTTGATTTTATAAAAAAATATTTTTTGTATTCCGGATGTACATTAAAAAACAATTTCTGCGAATAATAAATGTCTTTGGTTAAAATTATTTTATTAAGCATGTTAATTATCAATAATAAAGTTAATAAATTTGTGCTGACATTACTAAATTTAGTAACATAATATGTTAAGTTGTTGACCAGTTTTATTACATTTAAATAATGATATGAAACTTAAATTTCCGGATGGCATCAGGTTAAATCGTATTCACGGGGTCTTTGGCTAATGGAAGGTTTTCATGGATGTTTTCTGCCATAGAATCTGACCGATGGGAAAAAAATAGTCCTGGCAAAAGTAGTACTGTGCCCTTCTTAGTTAATTTAATGTGGAATAGATATGAAACTACTGACGACTACGTATGGCAGAAATACGAATATTATGATGGATGGATAAGATCATCATCATCACCAGCTCACTATTCGTCCCCACCGAGGGGCTCGGAGCCTACCCTAATAAGGGGTGACTAGGCCATAGTCAACTACGCTGGCCCACTGCGGGTTGGTTGACTTCACACATATCTTCGCCGATATGTGCAGGTTGCATTACGATGTTTTCCTTCACCGTAAGAACGTCGGGTAAATTATGTACATATGAAAATTCGAAAAATCGAAAATCACATTGGTACATGGCGGGATTCGAACCCAAGACCTGTAGATTACAAGTCTAGTGTTCAAACCACTGAGCCACCGACGCTCCCTACCAGACCGTATGGCAGAAATACGAATATTATGATGGATGGATAAGATACTAAATGAGTATATTTGAGGAAGTTTTTTTTTTTGTTCAAGTGTATTTACTATGTTGCAATGTGTTTTTGAGCTGATTAAATATCTATTAATATTATAAAAAGTAGTAGTGGTAGAGATATTAAGTAAAAGAAGTAAAAGATTAGCTTGGTATGGGCATGTTATGAAGAGGGATGAATCGCATGTAACAAGAAGGACGTCAGTTACAAGTGTAGAGGGCTACACCGGTAGAGAGAGACTCAGAACGACATGGATGGATTGTGTGAAAGGTTTACTGCGATGACGGATGATAGAGTTATGCGGAGGACGAAAACCTAATGTGCCAACCCTAAAGGAGCATATGGGGGGGAGGATGATGAGATATAACAGTGCTTCGAATGAGATAATGATGGCTGCCCTCAAAGCCCTATCTTAGAGAACCTGTTTCTTATTTTTTGGTTGCCTAATAAGCTGTAAAACAGATTATAGTTGTTATGAAAGGTAATGAAAGTAAAGGCAATATGTGGCATTTAAAACAAAAGCAATGGAAATCCATGTTTATTAAGAGAATTACATTTTACATACATTTTAGCAAATCACTTTATATGTCAGCAGTTTATCCGTATATGTCAGTAGTTTTTTTATTATTCTTGATAAATGTAATAATATAGATAGCGCATGCTGTAAATTATGAGAACATTTTAATTTAATTTATGCATTTATGTCAAATTTTACTGGAATGCAAGCGGACGTGTGAATTTGTTTTTTGGTAATAAAATGAGTTACCATGAGCAAGAGAAATGCAAAAGTGTTTTTAATAATAATATCCCTGGACCAATCTACATGTTTTTAAAAAAAAACTAACACATGAAAACACTATGAAAGAGGAATCTCTGCTGGAATATAATGTTTTAATGTCTTTGGTTTTTAATAGGAATATAACATTATGTCTATAACGACTGAGTCATTTTATAATTTATTTTAACTAATGGACTTATTTGTATCGAATTCTAGTATTCACTTTTTGCAATACGAGTTTACAACAAAACAGGATGGCCTTAATATAATGTTAACATTTAGAAATAACAGGTTTAGATACAGGCGAGTTATAAAATTTACATGTTCGGTCTAGAAAGAAAAAAAAAAGCTTACCATGTACTTGAACTTAGATTTTATGTTAGACAAAAAAATAAAAACATGTGCCTTTATTTTTACGCCGATGTTTTAATAGTTTAGATAGTTTTGAGCATTAGGAAAATTCAGATATAATCTCGACATCTGAATAAATCATTTTCTCTTCAGTCAAGGTTTCGTTATAAAATAAGTGTAATTGAGTCAAATTAAAACGTAAAGTTATCGCATGGCCTTTGTCTTCGAGTTTAGAACACATTAGCAAGTCTTAGCTTTAGGCGAATTATGTAGTTTACATAAATGGTGTCCAAAATCCGTATAATAAATTACCACTTGAACTATCGCAACTGCTAAAAGAGTATAATCAGGTAGGCAGTCACGCGGTTTAAATAGACAGAAATACAAAAGTCCATGGGCGTCGTTGGTCGTTGACCACCTCGGTGTTGTCGCCGCACGTTTCCCACCCTTTTATTATAAAAAAAGTATTGGATGTATCTCTTGCCCTTAACAAAGTAAACAAGATATATTTGTGTTAGACCAGTCCATGTATAAATACAGTTCAGTTTGACCTACCGGTGATAAAAACTAAATGCAAACGTCCGAACGCCGACAGACGATTCGGAATGTCGCCTGCCGAATGTCAAATGTCGATCTTCTAATAAAATTAAGTGTAATCAAGTAAAATCTGGTTATTTATGCTGTAAACTGTGATAATGATTGTATTTAGCGTGTGTGGAGCCAGGAAAAGTGCTTCCAAATAACATAACTTCGATATTCACTGTAGAAGCAAGTAATAAAAAGAATTGTGAACGACGACTTAAAATATCTTTGCATAAATAGAGACATCAATATAAATTATACAGCTGAATAAGTTCTGCGAGAATAATACCTTGAAGGCGTAGGCCTTATGAAAAAGAGTAGTCTTTTCTATCGTGATTAGCGCCTTGCGTGGATTTTTGACAAATCATGGTTATTGATGTATTATTATGCCTTGGTTTGCGAAATGTAATTTTGTAAATCACAAACAAAACTACATTCATATTCATACTATCAATCAGCGATAGTTAATCAGTTAAAGCACATGTTTAACTAAACGATGTCTAACCACATTTTTAGGCGTAACATAGAAAGTTTTTACTAAAAGCGTTATTGTTCAAAAGCTCGTTCCAAAGTTCCGTCGTTTTGAACTGTCATTTCAAATTCTAAAAATTAGTATTAAATTTTACCAGTATAATGTAAGCGTATGTTATTCAATGCAATGCATAATAGACTGCGAAATTAAGAGTCTTTTTAGCGAAGGGGGCGCCTTTCTCGTTATAATTCTACTTAAGCCAGCTTTTGAGCCGGTCTCTAGAACTTGTTAATTGAATATTCTAATTAAGGTCGCATCAAATTGTTGTCAATTATAATTGGACGTGTGAAATTTTTCTAACCTCAAATGTTGGTTTAATTTAACAAAAAATAAACTCATTGTTAAAGCCAGTTCCGAATTAAATACCCGTTAATGCCGCTTAGCAACCGGATATTTGTTTTTAATAAATCTTTTAAAACGTTTCAAATTTAAATTATGTGTTTCGAAATTGGAAAATTAAACTGTAATGGTTAAGTTACTTGTGAATATACTCCGACTTACAAAATAGTGCGGTTTCCCGTTGAGATGATCTACGCTCCGTTTCTTTGAATGAAAGAGGAGTGGACGTACAAAAAGAGGACTATACTAATGTATTTCTGATTTTAAAAAAATGTTATGTAACATAATTTTGAATGTGAATTTCTTATTTACAATTTTAAGTTTTATGCAAAAAAATGTCTTTGCATCTCCAAATATTACGATGGGAACCTAGAAATTTGGGATTTTGCTAACTTGTCTAATTAGTTATCGAGGTTATTTTTTATGTTTGTAGTTATATGTTTGTTTACTGCATGCTAATGGTTATTCTATGCATACATTTTAATTAACATATAATTTTAGACTAGCTGGAGATAATATGTAAAGATATCTAAAATGTAAGTGTTATCGGTGCTCAGGTATATAGATGTTGTTTTATATGAAATACTAACTGTCGCTTGGACCTTGGGAAAGCAATCCGGTTTAATTTTATAGCGTCGGCTAACATTAAGAAGTTATACATAGCTGATTAGTGTTTTAGTTAATTATTATTGAGTTTACACTTATATGCTAAAGTTAATGTTGCCTTGAATAAATATAATCAATGTTGCTAACAGAAGGATTCTATAATAGACTATACTCAAACTTGTCTTATGAAAATGTTTATAAAATTGTAACAAGTTAGAGAATTCGCAAAATTAATGCCTAATTTATATCTTTTCCTTAAACTCGGCTCGGTCTTCCGTTGTTTTAAATAAAATATTAACATAAGATATAGATAATAACAGTAAATAGGCTATTTAACTTTTTAAAATAGTACGTGTCTGGCGGCTATATAATTGACACATGATAAGGATCAAAAATGATCTTATGTTAATTTAAAATAAGATTGCTAGACCTAGGAAGAGATGGATGGATTACGTGAAAGGTGACATGATCAAGAAGGGAGTGATGACTGAGATGATAGAGTTATGTGGAGAATAAAAACCCATTGCGCCAACCCTACGGGAGTAGGATAAGGAGGTAGGTGATGATGGTGATTGCTGTGCAATTGATACGGTAAAAGTCGATCGAAGTCATAACAGCGATTTAAAACTGCGGCAAGTGCAAAAGTCTGTTTTTTTTTTTGCTTACACCTCTGAATATTATTGTTATGTTTGTATATAGAAAGAGAGGTGGGCATAGTGCAGATGTAACGACACGACAGTGAAGATACGGCATTAGTTGACTGTGCGTGTGTTTGTTGCAGAGTGATATGTCTACGAGGAGCGGTGCGAGCGCGATCCGAGCGCGCCGCGGCCACAAGGAGCGCTCCAAGAACTTCACTGAGCTGGAGAAGCGCACAGTGCTAGAGCTGATCGCGCGTCACCGCGACGTGCTGCGCCAGGGCCGCTCCAACAACGCCACTAACCGCAGCAAACAGGTACACACATACACACACACACACACACACA